GGTTTTGTAAACGAAGGTGTGGATTGCTAGTCGAGCAAGCCTTGACGCACACTTTCAAGCCACAGAGGGGGAAGGAGACATCAACCCTGTCTGCCTGTATACTATGACCGGAGGGGGGGGGCGAGTGTGCGTGATCCCAGACCGTGCCTCTAAGAGAATGTCGATGCCGTCATGATTTCAGCCGCTGGCCTCCACATTTACGACCACCCCCTTCGTTAGCTTAACGCGATCCTCTTGTCTTGATTGGCCGGACGGACGGCTGACCTTTCTAGGGTCTCTTCACTAATTGATCCCCGGTCTTGTCTTCGAACAGCGAATGCGTCGACGGTCCAGAAAGCAATCGACATCAAGTGTGCTCTTGTGCTGTCCAATGCTACATGTTTTACTAGGTCTGCAATTGCGACACGTCCTGCCGTGAGAAACGGAGTAATTGTATGAGTGAACTTTGATTATTTCCTTCAAATGTTTATTGAACAGGCGCTCGTGCATCATTTTACCAATGTCTTTCTTGCTGCAGCGTGACCTACTATGAAGAACGGGACAGGAACCAATAATGAGCACAAGCTAAAATGACGGGTTGATGGCCCATGAAGAATCTGAGAACGTTAAGATTGATGAAGCTAATTAAAAACAACCCGGACGGATTCGTTCTGGGCGTATGAGAGGATAACTTTTGCCTAATGATCACGACGACTGCGACTACGGGTGTGAGTGTGACTGTGGGTGCTTTGACTGTGGGAGCAAGAAGAACCGTGCTGTATGGGAATACTCTTCTTCGAAGTATTCGGATTCTTCGGAGCTTCGATGGTGAGCTTGCCTTTGTCGCTGAGTTCAGTTTTCAGACCTTCCAAATTCACGTCCTCAGGGAAGACTCCAAGAGCGGATGAACGACCTGAAAACGGTGGCATGAGTTTGACATAACTCTGTAGCATCTGGTCATACCTGGCCATGAAGCTGTTCTCGTTCTTGCACTCCTGCTTGCCTTCAACGGTCAGCAGCCTGCCATCCAAATTGACCTTCAACTCCTCTGGTTTGAACTGTGACACATCCAATGAAATGGCGAACTTCTTATCATCGTCAATGACCTGAATGTTTCGCTTATTCGCCTAATCATCGAGCAGCAGGAGTGTTATCACGAGGAGACCGAACCTGGATTTCGAGATTTGGGGCTGTTGGGGGACATGGCTCATACACAATGTAAGACTTAGCTTAGGAGAAGGC